TACGGCGCCGGTCTGGAATTGGCCCATCGGCTGCTGCTTCACGCCGCCATGGTGGGGCGCCGTGCCGTAGCTGTACTGCGGCGCACCCGTGTCGAGGGTCGCGAACGGGTCCGACATGTTCGCCTCGGTCTTGGGTTTCGCAACTGCCCGCAAGTCGGCCTCCACGCCGGCGTATCCGGAAGCTATTTTTAGACACGCTCGAAAATAGCATCCGGAGTGCGTATCTTCGAACTTCGTGATACCCAAACTTCGAATTAAAAAGCCACCAATCGCGACGTACCATTGTGTAGACAGGACGATGGGCGACGTCCAGCACGCCGCCAAGCTCGTGCTCGCGGTCCTCGTCGTCGGCTCGTGCTTGGTCATGGTCATGTGCTGGAACCTCGTGAGCTCGTCGACAAACGCGTCGCATGAGGACTCTTCGATGACGTGGCACGGCGCCAAGGCCATCCTCAACGTCGGAGCCAGACCCGCGACCAACGCCACCAACGCCTCGGCCGACGTCGTCTTTGCTCCGCGGCGCATTCGGTTCCTCACGCTCGCAGACGACGCCCGTCCCAACATTTGTCATCTCGCGGCCGCCATCTACCAACAGGGCAACGTGCTTGAAGTCTTGGGCTGGGACCAGAGCGACACATTCTTTGACGGCACGTCGTGCGGCGCCCGCTGCAAGACGCCACTCGAGGGCGCAGAACAGGTGCGGTTCGGCCAAGAAAAGAAGCTGTACTGGCTGCTGCACTACTTTGAGCACAAGCCCGACCTGCACGACGACGATCTCGTGCTCTTTACGGACGCATGGGACGTCATTGTCAATGGCGACACGACGACGCTCACCGACCTGTTCCTGCGCCACACGAAGCACGCGCGCGGCGTCATTTTCAACGGCGAGCCGGCGTGCGGCGACTCGTTCACGCTCCCGAGCGAATATGGCGACTATCTCCGCCGCCGCAGCTGGCGCGTGCAACTCGAGAGGGACCAGAACCCCCGATTGATTCGCGGCGACAGCGTCTGCAACGCGATGGCGGCCAAGACGCTGTCAACGGCGCATATTCCCGGTCCAAACTGGAGCCTCGGGTCGGGCGGCATCCTCGGCGACGTCCGGAGCTTTCGCAGTATCCTCCGCAAGGTCCACCAGATCCGTCGCGAGCAAGAAGAGCTGTTTGCGAAGGACCCGCATCGCGCCTACCTCTTTCAAGGCGACCAGATCTTATTTCAGCTTGCGTACCTCCAGTCGCCTGAGATTAACGTCAAGGTCGATGCGAGCGGCGAGATCTTCTTCGTCATCTCGCACCTCGTGGCCGATGGCGACTTTGACGAGTTCTCGCCCGCAAAAGGCTGCACGCGCAACTACATGGCGCACGGCCTCGCGTCGGTTTACGCATGGAACCGGATCGCGCCCGTCTTTTTCCACTTCCCCGGCGACTACAAGGAGGCATTTTGGTCTTGCGCGGCACCGACGTCGCGGTACAGGGAGTCCCGCGGTGTCGGCCAGTACATGTTTGACGTCGACCGCAGTCGGCAGGTGCCCGTGGCCGACGTTTGCCCCACTTTTGTCTGAAAAACGTGGTTTTCCTTCGTGTCTGCATAAAATGTTGAGATCTTTCGTTGCCGAAAAGGATAGTTCAAACAGAATTTATACAAAGGACTGGTACGAAGTGTCATTCGGCGTTTAGAAGCTCGAGCCACGGTTGTGGGCTGATGCCGAGGTGCGAAAGCGAGCGTGGCCAAATCCTCTATTTGGTGCGCTTTCTCTTCAGTCCACCCTTTCCACACGGTACGTTCGGCGGATTTTCTGGACTGTTTCACATTGCCATTGGAATGAGAAAGGTCCGGCGACGCTGGTCGTGCTCATGGCGACGGCTATGGGTCTCTTGACGCTCGAGACTCTCCTCGTGCAGCGAGTTACTTTGGCGTCAAGGCTCGAGGCCAGGCCCATCGCGACTTCAAGCGCACCACATTCGCCGTTTAACGTCGGCAAAGTCCACGTCATCACGCTGGCGGACGATCCTACGCGCACGGCGATCTGCCCACTGGCGGCGTCCGTGTACAGCCAAGGCTTGGTGCTCGGCGTGCTCGGGTGGAACTACAGCGACCACTTCTTCGATGGCACGTCGTGCGGCCCGCCGTGCCAAGCCAATCGCGGCAAGGACATTCGGATCGGGCAGCAAAAGAAGCTGCATTGGCTCCACCACTACTTTGAGCACCACCCCAATCTGCACGACGACGACCTCGTGCTCTTCACCGATGCATGGGACGTCATTGTGAATGGCGACACGGCGACGCTCGCGAGCATCTTTCTCAAGCAGACGCGCGGCCAGCGCGGCGTCATCTTCAACGGCGAGCCGTCGTGCGGCGACTCGTTCGGGATCGCTAACCCGTACGGCGACAAGCTCCGCAGCAAGCGCTGGCCGATCCGCTTGGAGCGCAGCCAAAACGTGCGCTACGCGAGCGGCCACGATATGTGCTACGCGGTTGCCGCCAAGACC